TCCTTTGTATCGTAACACAAGTATCGACGCGTTTCAGTAAAGTAATTTGCGCTAGCGAATATTCAAATGTCAATGGACTTAACTATTTTTGTAAGTCTATGTTACATCTAATATAGAATTCCATTAGTGAACGAACTTTCAGAACAGATCCAATAGATTTTTTTGTAAATGAACTAAAGTATATCTCTTCCTTATCTCTAATATATCTCTTAAAGTATAGCACTTCTACTGTAGTAGATGTGCTTTTTAAAGTAGGTAGTCAATAGATATACCTATGAAGAGATATACTTTAATTTCATTTACAAAAAACTATTGGATTGGTTCTGAAAGTTCGTTGACTAAAATTAAAAGTTCTTTCACTAGTGGAATTCCGTTTAAGATGTTACATAGGCTAAAAGAGGTCTAACTACAAAAGTTGACTTTAATAGCCTCTATGACGTTAAAAGTCATATTCAAAAATATAAACTTAAGTGATATCTATGATGACACCAAATTTCCTCTGAAAATACTAACCTCTAAGCAACTAGTTTAAATCCTAATAAAAACAGACTATTATGTTGATTCGTTCATATATGTGATACAATATAATAAAGAAATAAAATTACTCATTGACCTCACTTTTCTTTTAATTATTCTCAATGCTCGTTTCAGGCATAATGTAATTCAAATTATTTGTGTAATTAAACTCGAAATGAGAGTTTCGCATTCCATTTTCGTTATATTAGGCTTTGCTCTTTTGTTTTTCGGGACACGCATAGGGGGCATGCCATTTGAATTTGAATGTAAGTGCCCAGTTTATCGCTCTTTTGTGAGTCAGTGGTGCCACGGTTCGGTGGCTGCGAAAATTCATCGCTTGCCTCACGCGGATTCCAGTCTGGGTGAATAGGCGAATACAAAAACTGTTGATGTATAAGTTATTCAGTTTTAGTAAGCGAAGAGATGTAACAACACGAAATGAGCAGGATGTTATGGGAAAACGTTTTTACTTAAAACGTGACGCATTTAGATTCGAATGCTTTATTTTAAATTCGTAATAATTCGTATTCGTAATAAATGGAAAATATTGAAAACAATAAAAGGCCGATACAATGTTAACAAATAAATGTAAGTAGCAGGGTTGGAGTGGGGACGCCTTCTTTTCTCGTGGCTCTTATAACGATATAGGTATTTAATCTAAATATTTTATATGAATTACATAACAATTTTCAAGTACAATTATAAACAATTCAATGTAATTGTATTCTTTATAAGCTGCATCAATCTATCCTTTTCCAAATCGATAAGAAATTAACAAGTTCTCCAGTTACAATTTCCGGTTGAGGTACTTTTGGGTGTATGTTATCATATCCGTAATAAAGCTTACAACGTTGATTTGCGCAAATCTGATTGATACGAATGTACCGTGTATTATTGAGCAACTGCGCGGGCGCAGGAGTGACGCGAAAATGTTTGCGTACGGCACAGCGTGTTCTGTGAACCTCTGCAAAAATAACCTATTGCTTTGAATCACGTAGCTACATGGCAACACCGCTTAAATTGTATTGTAGTTACAAACTAAGCCTGTTTTACTAATACCTACTATAAAGTATTGTTCAATTATTAAATTGATAGTTTATAATTTGTATACAAAAAAATAATAAATAAAAATACTAATTAGTGGCACTAAAAAAGCTTAAGCATTAATGTATTCAAAATCCTTTAATTTTGTCGAAAATATTAATTCAAAACTAAATTCGTAACACCTGTTTCCTATTTGGTTAAGAAGAATTATCATAAGGTTTCGCAAACACGAAAAAAGAATTTGAAGTCGAATATTGGCAACACCTGTATCCGCTGCGTTTGCGCAGGGAGATTTCGCACCTCACACGTAACTCATGGATCGGTGTTTGCTTAATATAGCTAATATTCTTAGTTCCATCCATATTATAATGTTATATAACTCTAATTTTAAATTATTTCAATTATTTCAAATTATTTCAAAAATCTCTTAATCTATTATAATAACTAGAAAGACAGTAAAAAGAATCAAATATTTTTGTTTTGTTAATGTATTTATGTGTATAATGTTTCACGCTTGAGTTCAAAACAAGTTACTTGAATTTGTTAAATATATATTATTTTCATAATATGAAATGAAGAAAATAATTCAATAGCCAGACCCGAGGAACAAAGAAAAAAAATCTATATTGACTCGACCCGTAATCGAACCCGAGATCTCAGAGATGGTGATATATTGAAACCGACACAAGCGTTTAACAAAAAGTAATATTAAACATTAATAGAATTCTCAAAACATCGAAAAGATACTGCTAGATTCATCGAAAAGATTCACCTCTACCAGTAATATAACAACGCGATAATAAACAAATAACGTGGAACATAACCATATAAATGTTAAGGTTAAAATTCACAAATACACAAACTTCCACTCTTCTGACTTTAGAATAAATTACTAATAAAAAATTTATTCGCCAAGTTACATATAATAAATTTTCATAATTCATAAGCATGTTCTTAAAGTAGTTATCTTGGTTGAAGGCGTCAATTTCAAATTACTATCTCAGTTTAAATTAGTAGGTTTGCGATTTAAATATGTAAATAACCAAAGGCTGCGAAAATGTAGTAGGATTAAGTTTTGCAATATAGAGCGTGAGTCACCATCATATTAATGCAAAATTAACTGTATATTATACTTTAAAAAGGTATTTTAAAGTTACTTAATTAGAATTACTTTTAGAATACATTTATCTACGAGTATATTAGATATATAAAAGGCAAACCTGACTAAATTATATATCAACGCATGGCCAACACACAGATTTTTAGAATTTCAACCCCTAAGGGGGTGAAATAGGGAGGTGAAGTTTATACGGAATATTCTCGCCGCTGGCGGAGGGCTATTAAAATATAACATCGTTTATTAATTTTAAAAAGGAATTGCAGAGGAGTCTACTCATGAAGTGTTATTGTATTAAAAGGATTACAATTTTGAATTATAGGATTAAAAGAAAAAAAGGTTATAAAGAGGAAAGATTTCATTGTTTGTTTGTTTGCATCGAATAGGCTCCGAAGTTACTGGACAGATTTTGAAAATTCTTTCACCTACGGGTAGCTCCATCGTACGGGGTACGTATAGGCTATAATTTACGTGTGCATAGTCGCGGGAAAACAGCTAGTATAACATTTTTATATATAAAACACGTTCTAATTGTATTGGAATAGAGCAGAGATTTGATACAGACACTAGAATTTGTCATTCTCTGTCTCAATTTATTACATTTACGAGCAGGTTCTTTTGTTTTATCTCATTCTGTTTTGTTTTCATTTTTCAATCATCTCTATCAGTAATAATATTATAATTGCGATATTAACTTTGCCTGTAACGTTTTCGTACGTAAAACAATGAAACGATGTTAATGAAATCCTGCACGAAAACTTATTTCTAAAACCTAATAAAAAGCTTCAAAAGATGGCTCTTTTTTCAAAGAATAATTAAGCTAATCTAACCATTTTTATAGGATTTATGCGGTAAAATAATGCCAATAATTAGATAAAGATACAAGCTGCCAAAATAAACGGACCAGACAATGAGACAAACAGAGAAAGAGAATGGAGTATTGTGATATAAAAATGAATTAAGTAGAATTTTTGACTTGGTGTATAATGTTCCAAAACTAAGCGTATTACCGACTGATATAATAGCATTCTTCTGTTAGGTTCCGCTAGGTTTTGAGTTAGGTAATCGCTCTTTCAATATTGTGTAATAATAGTGTACCTAGTAATTTTCATTTTTTTGTAGTATTTATTTCCCATCTCTCAATTTGTTAACGTAATAAAGGCATGCCAATAAAGATAAATAAGATAATTCATTGAATATTTGTGCCCGATTGCCGAGAAGACTTATTGGTACCTAGATATTTTCATATATTCAATACAACAGGATATTATCTTAGTTAAATCAATATTTGATAACCCGGTTGATAACCTATAATTATGTAAAAATTTCAGTAGAACTGAGTCCCAAGAGTTCTGCGGTTTCACTCGATGTTAAAAGTAAATGAAAAACTGTGTAATTACGTATGATACCGAATGGTGTTTGAGTGACGGTGTCCTTATCTGTTGCTATTGTTTAACGCTTTTTGCTTCCCACGGTCGCGATGCTGATAACGTTGTATCTACCTGCCGACGAACGTGCTAGGACTCCGGGGACATACAGCTGATCCCTCCTCTCTCAATGACAACTCTTTTTTTATAAATGAGACTTAAGTATATCAACATACGGCAAAAAGTCTTAGTTTGAGGTTATGAAAAACTCTTTCGTAAGCTATGTGATCATTTTAAATATGTAATTAAATTAGAAGACAATTAGGTAATGTTATGAAGTTAAATTTTTCTTATAAATTTTTAACTATGTAAATATATAACGTTGGAAATATTATTATACATTAATAGACAAGTCGCGGAGAAGCTAAACGGATGTCGCGTTTAAATCTTTTGTTTCAACAATACCTATAATAATAGCAACATTAAAAGTGAGTGTTGTTAGCTTTAGCTTTGAAATTGTTTGAAAGCTTCGTTTAGTTCATTCATGTGAGTTATTTTCAGACGAACTTAAGTCATGTTCATGAATTGCATGTTTAGTATATTTTCATTTGCATGTTCACGGGTGTCTACTTAAACAGTAAAGGGCTAACATTGTGTTGTGAGATTGTTATCGCGGTTACTATCACACCCGTACATATCGTAACCGTTTATCAATGTACACTTATCATCATGCAACATACTGCAAACATTTTAAACAATAAATACTATAAAACACAACTTTGTATTCATCTCATGGGACAGAAGAGGCATTGTTTGTGACAGATATTCAATGGTCGGTGAAACAAAGAGTCGGGGAGCCGACTTCAAAATTCACCAACGGCCCACGCTTCGTCATAAGAACGGATGAAATGTATAATAGCTATAATATGAGCTGAATCCATTATCCAATGACGTACATCAATTACCCATTTAATGCAATTTGGGCCATTGTGGAGATGGTCATAGCGAGTTCTGGTACATTCCCGGCGACACTCACTGAAAAGCACCAATTAGAGAAAACACTAGCGGACAAGCACTCTGAACACAGGTGGATCGCGATCGTTCGTCTGTGGAACCGGTCATGTCAGCCAAACGGCGTCCAGAGTGGCGTGAGAGGGCGCGCGCGTGCGTCTCTGCGGCCGGCGCACGACTACTCGCCGCTCAATGGGTCGGCGGAGGGGCGAAGCTCGGCTCACTCCCAACGAGCTTACGAAAATCACCAATTGCAACTGTCCCCTCATTAATACACCAATTTTACATAACACTGAAACACTTGCAGTTTCAATATCGACACGCGTAAGGAACGACCGCTGACTGCGCGCAGATTCGGGAAGGCATTTGATCCAAGCCGTGAAAGAGTGCTAGTTTTTTTAAGAGCTTCCGATTGAAGCTACGGTGCGTTGCTAACGCTTCGCATCCGGTGGCACCTGCTCGCACTCGAGGGAAGATTGCGCGTTAGAAGGAGATGAAGTGATCGAGCAGAACGTGGACCGGATGGCGGACTCGGTTATGAATGAATACGCTGTCCTTGTCTCGCGCACCGCTCACGTGGCGAGTCTCTCTCCGACGCAGGTTGTCGTCGTAGAGGAAGTGAAAGGGACGGGAGGCGTAGTAAATATTGCGTTCTGTAGATCCGCTGCCCAGAGTACACTAAAGCTCTGGTTTTTGTGTCATCACAAAGGATAACCGTCTATCTTCATTCATAGTTTAGCTATTTTCACATACCATAGCCCACGGCCACGAATTTCGCAATAAGGTGCTTACCTGGTTCCTTTTATGAGTCACATGTATTACGGAGGCAACAAATATTTAATATAATTAAATATTATTAAAATCGTGCAACTGCGTAAACAAAAGGTTACTTTTAAGAAAGAAAAAAAAATCAACTTGTCAATAGTGTTATTATGTAATGTTCATTTTAATGAAGCTGTTTTCTAGTAAAGTTTTAATTCATTATTGTGCTTACTTTGACTTATTCAAATTGTGGGATTTAAACTGTTTCCCTTCCCTTTTCACTCAGAAAATGTAATATTTTTAACACCATTTCTTTCATTATTTATTATGGAGTCTTTTGATGACTCATAGAAAGCGAATCTACCAGAAAGGATGAACAATCGTTTCTCAGCCATATGCTTATAGTTACGCAAACGTAAATCTAAATGTATTATAAGCAAACATATCTCATGAATTGAGATAAAAATAAATTTCCATTTTTAAAGGTTGGTTCACTTTTGCAGAAATTATGACGGATTTTAGTTAAGTGGAGGAGATACCAACAAGTTATTTTGTTGTTATTATATTTAATTTACCATAATTTGTATTTTAATTGCGATGGTTGTAAACAATATCAAACAATATAGATTGACACAAAAATCCACTGCGATGTTACAATCTATTATTTAGAGGCGCGTAGTATTTAAAAAAAAGAAAACACTAAAAAAGCACTTCCACTAGATGGCAATTCTAGCAAAAGTTGATATTCGCAGGAAACGAATGGACTAAAGATTCAGTCCCTTGTAACTAACAGATTAAAAAACTTAAATTTGCAAAGTTCAAAACATAGATATCAATACACATATGAAAAAGTATAAAATAGAATATGAGTGTATATTGAAATTTTGAAATCTAATTTACTTTTATACATGAAAGAAAACCGGAAGGGTTGTCATGGAGAATTCAAGAAAGTACCGTAGCGACATCTAGTTTGATTTCGGGAACTAATGTTGTTTTTTAAATACTTCCTCATTCCAATAAATACTTACTATTCATATTATCAAGTGGTTTGTTTAATCCAAAAATACCTTAACCTAGTTAGTCGTATTACCCAATACGAGTACTTTTTTTCATTTCGGATTAACGACAACGTTGCATCGGAATAACAATAGAATATTATTATGTATATTATTGAGTAGTATTTTAAGTCGTAACCCTATCGAGGCTGTCTAGGGCAGGGTCTATTAGTCGCATTGTTATCGGATGGGTGCGGCGACAAACGGCCCATGTCAATGTTTGCCGACCAGACGGCGACTGCGTGTCGCGCGACAAGGCTCGTGCGTCTCGCTCACCTCTTTGATGCTCACGAAGAATAGTTGCCTAAGGTCCAGCCCCAACTTATGTTTTACTTTATGACGTTGAAAATTATGGAAATTTTCAACGTAATAAAGCCTCGAAATGAACTTCGAACGCATAGACTGCATAGAGATTTTATAATATAAAACCTTTGCCTTTTGAAGTAGGTTTTATTTGATTCAACCTCTATTCTATAAAGTGTCGCACTCGACTCGAGTTGGAGTCGGTTTTTATAACAGAATAGCACTACAGGTATGGATAGATTTGTTTGTGGATTTGGAACAAAATTTTGAAAGTTTGGAAGTTTATGAAATAATTGTTGGCTATTCTGATAGCATAAACTAAGCGAAATTAATTTTGCAACTCTAAACAACTAAAATAACATAATTTAACATATTGTGTATCTATTAGAACATGTGACACTAGGATAATGTAAAATTAAACACAAATTAGAAGTTAGAGGAATATTATCATAATATAAAATTTCCAATAGTCAAAGATAACTTTCCATTGTAAAATATTTTCGTCAACTTCAAGAATTTCGGTAATATTTGACTACATTGCGAAATCTGTGTGCATTGTCTTTGGTTTATTGGTCAACAATGTAACTTGCTTTAAAGGTTTCTTTAAAACAAATACAGACGTAACAATTGCCTTGGCGACGAATGGAGGATGTGGTTTTGTCATCGACGCTCGATAGCTTTTCTGTATATTTTCCATAAAATGTAAAACAAGACATTCTATACTATATATTTAATATGACCTCCACGGCCGTGTGTTTCAACTTCTTTGTTTCAGGTTTTCATGAATCAAGCACTAAAAACTACTTTAGTTGGGGTATGAGCAATATATGTTGTACGATTACGTACAAATATTTATTGCTGACGTGCAATCTACTTTGGCGTGCGGTCAATAATCTAAGTGTATATGTATCGACTATATAATATGTATAACTTGAACTATATTCAACTTTATCCAAAATTCTATCAACCACACTCTTCAAGAAATTCGACGGCGCGATGGTAAGCGCACTCGGCTGTTCAGCCACTTTATAGGATGGTGACCAAACATTTATAACCTCGAGCTCTGCAGATGTTAATTCTTACCAAACCACACTAGTCGCCTAGTCGCATATTCGATTCTATGCATAGGGAAGGCCTGAGCCCCAGCAGCGGGGACATTAATAGACTGGTGATGATACATTTTTTATAGGAAACCTGTACACCCAACAGCGATGATGGTAATGACACTTATAAAAATTTTAACAGGCGATGAGTAATTGTATTTCTATTTGTACTTTGTCTCAAATCAAACAATGGATTTTTTTTTTCTGTTCAACAATGTTTACTTAAGTGCTTACAACTCGTAAACTTGTGACTTATGTGTGTTTCTTTAGTTTGCGGATTTTACGTATGACTTCGTTTACATATTAATTTTACTAAGAATTAGCTAGGGTTTACTTTCACCTTAATAGGATGAAAAGAACAATTACTATCACTGCCATAGCTGTTTTTTTTTTTAATATATCAATATGTAGTTGTTTGAATAATAAAAAAGTATAGAAAACAATAGAAAGCAAATTCTATATCCGTTATTGAAAAACATAAATTATGTGTTTTCCACAGCAACGGAACCCAAACCTTCAAAGAAAGCGATTTTAAATAATTAGACTTTTAATGATGATATGTATTAAATATATAACATTACGGAGCAGGAGGATTGTTGAAAATATTAAGCTTCTTAAATCTAGTAGTATTTAAAAGATTATTATGTAATGATGATTATTATATAATGATGATAATGATTATTATGAGATTTGATTATCAATAGTTAATACGAGACATCAATAGTTTAAAAGAAAAGTATCAGAAAAATACATTCCAATTTTGAAATTTGAAAATGTAACAAGTCACATTTTTTTAAGGATACTGTTTTAAATTATACTGAGTATTTAAAAAGGAGGATTACATTATCGATCGTCAGTATTCGGACTGATCGATTTGAAAGAGTACTTAAGTGCGTTCGGAGCGAGCAATATAAATAAAAAGGTAAAATCAGAACATTAAGAAACAGTGAATCGCGCGAGAGACCGATGGGATATCGAAACCTCTGAGCGCCAGGTGCTACGCGGGAAGTGAACCCCGTCCCTCCCCTCCGCGACCTCTCTCTCTCATGCACACACACACACGACCTCCTAGAGGAAGCTCCACACATAAGTCACTTCTCGCTACGTAAAATCAAAATGTTCGTGTATATTTAAATAATTTATGAATGGCTTGCATTCGCATCTCGTACGTCGTTGTGCATGAAAAATGGTGAATATAAATATTACATTGAGTGGAAGTTAATTCGAAAGTAACTTTATTTAAAATGTAAGTGTTGTCTGATGCGAGATCGGGACCGGCGCTTTAAAAAAGCTTTGAACTGCTTTGGCGTTTCGTGGTTGATTAATTAAAATTGTGTTTTGATGATGGCGCGACGCGTTCTTAAAAAACGAAAACAAACTTAGTAGTTTGTGTATTCTTTTTAAGTGTTTAACCTTTTTAGCATGTTTTGAGATTAATCTCTGGCGGTTATTTTAAAAGCGAATGTTATTTATGCGGACATCACTAATTGATGCTTCAGTTCATTGGTTAATTTCTGATTAAAATTTAACTGCCGTTACCGAAAAGCAGTATATTTTGGTTATTTGTTATTTTAATAAGCTTTCAATACATAAGTAGATAAAATTTTTGTCGGTGGTAATATTATAAATGAATACACAAATGCACATAATGTGACCTCGATAACGAAATAATTAGATTCTATAGATATATTTTTGTTAAAACAATAAAAAAGAATTTAAACAGTTCTATTTTACTCACTTAAATTAAGCGTACAAATTTAATGAAGAATATTTTATTCGAGAAATATGTCTACACAATTTAATCAATCGATATGCTTATCAAAAACATACATATATCAATATTAATTTAAAATCTATGGATTTTAATCTTCCACAGTCATCAGTCAAAGAAAAACTAGAATAACATTCGCATCGAGACGATTCTTTATGCGATCAGTAAGGATATATCATAAAATT